TGTAAAAACCTCTCGTAAGCTAACCTTTTTTCTCTTTTATTACACCCTTTACTTCATCATTCCACCAATCACTCCTTTCCTCCTGCCCCCACCCTCCTATAACCACAAACTTCTGCCCCACATTCTATATACTGCATTTTTAAAACTATTCCAACCCTCTTCAACCTCCCACTACTCATCTTTGCACTAGCCCACCTTTCTGCCAATAGTCGCTTATATCTCGCCCGAACTTCCTCCTCCCTTAGTTTATACACTTTCACCTCCCTCTTACTTCTTATTGCCACCTTCCTCTTTTCCCATCTACCTCTTACTCTAACTGTAGCTACAACTAAATAATGATCCGATATATCAGTTGCCCCTCTATAAACATGTACATCCTGGAGCCTACCCATCAACCTTTATCCACCAATACATAATCTAACAAACTACTTTCATTACGTGCTACATCATACCTTGTATATTTTTTTATCTCTTTTTCATAAAATATGTATTACTTATTACCAAATTTCTTTCTACACATAGCTCAATTAAAGGCCCCCATTTACATTTACCCTGGCACCCCAAATTTACCTACTACTCCCTCCATAACATTTTACCCACTTTAGCATTGAAATCCCCAACCACCATTACTCTCACACTTGATTCAAAACTCCCCACGCATTCACTCAACATTTCCCAGAATCTCTCTCTCTCCTCTACACTTCTCTCTTCTCCAGGTGCATACACGCTTACTATAACCCACTTTTCACATCCAATCTTTATTTTACTTCACATAATCCTTGAATTTATACATTTGTAGTCCCTCTTTTCCTGCCATAGCTTATCCTTCAACATTATTGCTACTCCTTTAGCTCTAACTCTATTTGAAACCCCTGACCTAATCCCATTTATTCCTCTCCATTTAAACTCTCCCACCCTCTTCAGCTTTGTTTCACTTAAAGCCAGGACATCCAGTTTCTTCTCATTCATAACATCCACAATCATCTCTTTATCATTTGCACAACATCCACGCACATTCAGACTTCCCACTTTGACAATTTTCTTCTTATTATTCTTTTTAGTAATCTTTACAGGAAAAGGGGTTACTAGCCCATTGTTCCCGGCATTTTAGTTGACTTTTACAACACGCATGGCTTACGGAGGAAAGATTCTTATTCCACTTCCCCATGGATATAAAAGGAAAAGTAATAAGACCAAGAACTATTAAGATAAAATCAAAGAAAACTGAGATGAGTGAGTATATATAAACGTGTACATGTATGTGTAGTGTGACCTAAGTGTAAGTAGAAGTAGCAAGACATACCTGTAATCTTGCATATTTATGAGACAGACAAAAGACACCAGCAATCCTACCATCATGTAAAACAATTACAGGCTTTCGTTTTACACTCACTTGGCAGGACGGTAGTACCTCCCTGGGTGGTTGCTGTCTACCAACCTACTACCTTAAAAAAAAAAAAAAAAAAAAAAAAAAAAAAAAAAAAAAAAAAAAAAAAAAAAAAAAAAAAAAAAACTTTGCGACCACTGTCAGCCTCAGAATTATCTCTGAGTTACCAGACCTTGCCACTCTAAAAATGGTGCATTGCTGTTTGTTTATTCTGAGCTAACTTGTACAACTTGTACACAATGTAAGAGTATTTGTATTGTGAGGTAATTATTTTATTATTTTTTTATTATCACACTGGCCAATTCCCACCAAGGCAGGGTGGCCCGAAAAAGAAAAACTTTCACCATCATTCACTCCATCACTGTCTTGCCAGAAGGGTGCTTTACACTACAGTTTTTAAACTGCAACATTTACACCCCTCCTTCAGAGTGCAGGCACTGTACTTCCCATCTCCAGGACTCAAGTCCGGCCTGCTGGTTTCCCTGAACCCCTTCATAAATGTTACTTTGCTCACACTCCAACAGCACGTCAAGTATTAAAAACCATTTGTCTCCATTCGCTCCTATCAAACACGCTCACGCATGCCTGCTGGAAGTCCAAGCCCCTCGCACACAAAACCTCCTTTACCCCCTCCCTCCAACCTTTCCTAGGCCGACCCCTACCCCGGGAAAGGTTGGAGGGAGGGGGTAAAGGAGGTTTTGTGTGCGAGGGGCTTGGACTTCCAAGCCATATTGAGGTAAATGTTTTACAAACTCTTACAAATGGATGTGAATGAACTAAAAGTAGACACATTAATACGCATTTATTTCGCCTGAGCAAGTGATCGTCCACTACCTGTTCAGTTTGTGTTCTTACATTGTCTCAACTCTGCATCTCGTTCTGTCTCTCGTTTACTCTTTTGTTAACTAGTTGGCTCTCATTGACGATGACATCTAAGGTTAGCTGTGATAAAAAGAGAAGTCGTAAGCCTCCTGCTTTAAGTACCAAGTTAGAGGATGATGGTGTGCCATTCTGATTTTATTCAATAAACACCCTGCCACTCACCTCTCACACATTAATATTAATATTTTAAGGTAAGTAATAAGTGTACTCTGTGTGTATCTTACCTTTTATTGTGTTTTTAATGTCTATTTCTATTGCTAACTTAATATGTTAGTGTAAACTTGTTGTCTGGCATTTATTGCATATTTTATGTGTGCTCTGATAATAATACCTGTGGGCCTGTGTGGTAGCCGGGTGGAGGGACAACATTATGTTTTCTCTCCTCAGCCATCAGAGAAAACGTGTATGAACCTGTGTTTGGCCCAGCCACTCCCTCACTCCGCTTTTGTTTACAATTTTCGGCATTAAGTATTCATTACTTCTACCTTCGTTTATGATGGCATCTAAAGGTAGTTGTTAGAAATGATTAAATTCAGTGAACAAGGCATGTCAATGTTAATAATATGGCTCTGGGCCACAGTGTAGGTAGCCGGAAGGTGTAGCCCAGGCAGCTACCTACACTGACTTCCTACAAATAAATACTACTCACCTCTCTTCCTATATTAAGACTACACATATTTTAAGGTAAATAATGAGTGTACTGTATGTGTATTTTACCTCTCTGGGATGTTTTAAATATCGTATATTAAGTATGAGACGGGGAGCCAGGGCTACCTACACCTGGGCTACCTGCACCTGACTTCCTACAAATAAGTACTACTCACCTCTCTCCCTACATTAAGATTACAAATACTTTAAGATAAGTAATGAATTTACTGTGAATGTATTTTACTTTGTGTATTTTTAATGCCTGGTTCTATTACTAAGTTAATATAATTTAGTGTAAACTTGTTGTCTGGCATTTATATGCATTTATAAATGGAAAAAAATGGCGTTCTGCCTTCTGGCGATGTCTGCTTTCCGGCGACAGCCTGGAACCTAACCCGCCATATAAGTGGGGCCCTACTGTATATGGAATAGGTAGTAAGTTACTAAATGCTGTAAAGAGTTTTTATGAGGATAGTGAGGCTCAGGTTAGGGTGTGTAGGAGAGAGGGAGATTACTTCCCAATAAAAGTAGGTCTTAGACAGGGATGTGTAATGTCACCATGGTTGTTTAATATATTTATAGATGGGGTTGTAAAAGAAGTAAATGCTAGGGTGTTGGAGAGAAGAGTAGGATTAAATTATGGGGAATCAAATACAAAATGGGAGTTGACACAGTTACTTTTTGCTGATGATACTGTGCTTATAGGAGATTATAAAGAAAAGTTGCAAAGGTTAGTGGACAAGTTTTGGAGGGTGTGTAAAGGTAGAAAGTTGAAAGTGAACATAGATAGGAGTAAGGTGATGAGGGTATCAAATGATTTAGATAAAGAAAAATTGGATATCACATTGAAGAGAATTAGTATGGAAGAAGTGAATTTTTTCAGATATTTGGGAGTTGACTTGTCAGCAGATGGGTTTATGAAGGATGAGGTTAGCCACAGAACTGATGAAGGAAAAAAGGTGAGTGGTGCAGAGGTATTTTGTGGAGAAAAAAAAAAAAAAAACGTTATTATGGGGGCAAAGAAGGGAATGAAACAAAATATATGGTCCCCAAAGGGGGGTGGGATGGGTTGCAAATGATGCAGAAAGGGGGCCCTGGAGGCAGTTGAGAATGCCCTGTCTAAGGGCAAGGGTGTGGTGTAAATTTATGCACAAATTGGGGAGTGGGGAAAATTAGGAGGAGGGGGTGAATTTCCCTAAAAGTATTAGTCAGAGGGTGAAGAGGGGTTTGTTTTGGGGTTTTGGCTTTTTAAGAGGAGTTTGGGAGCAAAGTAGAATGACTTGGAGAGGATAAATTTGGGGGAAAGGGAAAAGGCAGGGTGGGGGGTTTTCCCTTTGGGAAAAGGCGGGAGGGGGGGGAAAAAGGAGGTTTGGGTGGGCGGGGGTTTTTGGACTTCCAGTAAGGTGCAGGAGGGGGGTTGGGGATGGGGAGTAAATTTGGAGGGGGAACTGTTTTTTTGGGCCTGACGAGTTGTTGGAGTGTGAGCAGAGAAAAATTTTTTAGTGAAGGGATTCGGGGAAAACCGGTTTTTTTTTATATACTAGACTTGAGTAGGGAAAGGGGAAAATTAAAAATGTCTGAACCTTAAAGGGGGAGTTTGGGATTTTGGCATTTTGGGGGAAGGGGATTTTTTATATGCTTCAAAATGTTTGTTTTGGGGCCCTCCAAAGAGGTGATTATGTGTGAGTGAAGTGAAAGTTTAAATAATGATTTAAGTTTTTTCCCTTTTTGGGGTTTTTTCTTTCTTTTGGGTCACCCGCCCGGGGGGAGACGGCCGATTAAAAAAAAGAAAAATTTTTCCCCTTATTAAAATACAGTAATTTACACAGGAGAAGGGGGTTTTAATTTTCCCTAAAAATTAAATCAAAAAAAACGTAACGGGCCCAACAAATAAAAAATTTTTTAAAAAATTAAAAATGTAAACTAGTAATGGGAAGTCTTAAGGTGAAAAAATACTACAGAATACAAAATTCATTTGTCACCCCCCTTCAAAAACAAAAAATTTTAGTTTCAAAAATATCTAAAAATGAAAAAAAAAATTTTGGGTTTTACAAAGTTTAAAAAAAAAAATTTGGGCAAATACCTGTGATTAGCTAAAACCCCATCATTACTTATTTTTTTTTTCATTTTTGACTTTTTTCAAAAACAAGGGAAAAGGTTGCCGTGTGTCATAATAGTTATGCCTCACTTTTTCTGATTTCTGTGTTGTCTTCAATATCAGCATCACTGATCTCTGTTCTAATAAATAAACTAAATAGTAAAGCTTTCATGAAAGAAATGGGCAAAATATATACAAAAAAGAATAAACAGCAAAAAAGGGCAAGATAAAGTATTAAGGGGAAAATGAAAGGGTGTTTTTTATTCCCTGGGAAGGGGGCCCGGGTAATCTACTGCCGAGCTTTTAAATTTTTAAATTACATTATACAAAAATTAGTATCAATAGAAGTATCAAATTTACACCCCCAAAGGGAAAGAAGAATCACGTTCCCCACCCCAGATATGAGGCCCTCAAAAATTTGGGGGGATAAAATGTACTTACAGTAATTTAAAAAGTCTCCTTAAGCAACTGTTGAATTTTTTTAAATGTTCTTTCTGTTTACCTTCCAACCTCAATTCAGTAGTTTAAATAAAAAACAGCCTTCATACAAATTGGCTTTTTAATACAGGGGAAACCTAAAATATCGAACTTTTTTCATCCCAAAAACGGCTTTTTCGAGTGCCGTAACCGAAAAATTTTTTTCCCATAAAGGAAAATTTTTAAAATTTAGTTCTTTTCCCAGCCTCAAAAATCCCACTTATAATAAAAAAATCCCAAAATTCCCATTTCATAATTTGGTTTGGAGTTGGGAGAGATTTCATAAATAAAGGTTTTCCCAACGGGGTATTACTTTTTTCCAATGGAACGGGAGTTTTTAGACAAGATTTTAAACCCCTTTTGACTTTTTTCAGTTGTATATTTTGTTAAACAGCCACCGTGTTTGACATAAAATATATCATAAATTTAGCGGCTTAAAATAAAAGCAGGGAAAACCCTGGTACCCCCACATGTGAGAGAATGGGTCTGTGGGGTTTAGTGTGCCCATATTAAAAAAAACCCTGCGGGATCGGGTGCTTTAATGAGAAAAAAAAACTGACCTTTTTTTTTAATTTAAACCCCCTTTCGGGGCCCAAAGGCCAAAATCTGAAGGGTGCCCCGGGGTCCAAGAAATTTTAAAAAAAAAAAAAAAAAAAAAAAAAAAAAAAAATTTCTTACAAAATTTAAAGGGGCTTTTTTTTGTAAAGGAAATAAAAGAAAAAAAAAAAAATTTGATCAGTACTTCCCGAGTTTCATCCCAAAGAAGTTTGTAAAAAAAGGTTGTGGTGGGGGCAACAGACAAATTCCACATACCACATTACATTATTTTGCAGTTTTTGTTTTTTTTTTTTTTTCTTCCCCCTAATTTTTTTTTTATTCCTACTAAAATTTGGGGCCTGAGAGACCAAAACTGTATATAATGTATAATTTTAAAAATCCTGTATTTAACACAAAAAATCCCCAAAATTTTTATCATATTAAATTTTTTTACCCTGTTGTTTTTTACAAAAACATGCACAAATATTGTATAATACTAAAGTTTTTATCATATTTTAATATTTAAATCACTGGCATGGTTTTAGAATGGGGGAGCGTGGAACTCCTTGAAAAAAGGCACCATGCCCCAGGGGGGACCTTACATTCCCTTTTCACAAAAAACCCGGGTTTCTTTTCGTCTTTGTTGCCGTTTTTTTGTTTTTGCACAAGGGCAAAGCATCGCTTCTGAGCAAAATTTTTTCTGGGGTTGAAGGAAGGGTTTTTATTATGAAATGATCACCTTTTCCCCCCTCAAACGCTTGGGGTATATCCCGAGGAATTCGAACCGTGTTGAATTTGCAGGTGTTCCTTTCCTTTGGGACTTTTATTAGAGTTTTTTTGACAACAGACAAACAAAAAATTTACCATACGGTGGGGTTTTTGCCTTTTTTTATTTGGACATATTATAATTTTTTGAGCAAAAGAAAAGTCCATGAGATGGAAGAAAAGTTTTTATGTACCAAATTGTTTAAATCTTTCGAAACAGTCAACAAAACCAAACTGGGATGTCCATTTGCAAAACCCAAACGTTGTTTTTTTGTTTTAATCAACATGTCAATGGGTTTTTGAATCCTTTTATTAGTCACTCATTTTCAACTTTTCCACTGTCTTGCATTTCATTATGGGAATGGTTGTCAACAATGTGACACTCTTTGTCATGCCCCGAAATGCCATGATGAATTTGGGATAAACACCTGCACTAAACACCCGAGCCCTCTTTTTTGCCCGGGCATAAAGTTTTCGATTGAAAGCACTGTGCCACAACAAACTGTCTTGTTTACCCGCATGAAAACACTGGGTAATGGGGTTGTGTACCAGTTATCGGGATATAATGTATGCCCCTTTACCCAAAATAAGGGGCCATCATGTTTCATTTTCCTTTACCTGAGATACCCAAAAACATCCCGGTTTTCTTTCAATGTTTTATACCCTGTATACAACAATATCCAACACCAGGCCACTGTCACAATCCAGAGTTTCAAACCCTTTTTTACCAAAACCCTTTCCTCTTGCTCAGGGAATTTTTACTGCTTGAAATTAAATTTTACCTTTTAAAAAAATCAAAGACTCGGTTTAAATTTCAAGATTCTTTTAAAAGGAAAAAAAATATATGCTGAATTTTGTTTGGGTACCCTGAAAACATTTTTTAATCTTGCATTAACCCGTCCTTTTGTCAGGCCGGGTTTTTTCAGAGAAGGGCAAACGTAAGGGGTAAGATAAAAAAAAAGTTTCCCGGGATGATTTCACTTAAGACCGGGGTAAAAAATTAGGTTTTTTTTGATCTGTGGACCAGGGTTGCTTTTATATTATGTTAAGACGTGAAAGGGATAAGCATTATTGTTGCAAAAAAACAAATACATTTCTGCAACAGTCTTTTCTTTTCCACCTGTGTAGTCTTGACTGGGTGATAAAGATCGTATTTTCCAAAGGTGTAATCAAAAAACTTTTTACTTTCCCCTGACAATAATTTTCCCTCAATGGCTTGGGCAAAGAATAATTTTTAAAAAATTCCAGTTCAAATTTGGGCCCTGGTTCCAAGGGGACAAGTAGGTAGAAATTCCAATTTGAGAGTTTATCAAAGTGGTGAGGCTTGGGGGGGAAAAAAATTAGGATTTGCTGCCAAACCCCCATTTGGGTTTTCTGGTGGATACTGGGAAAAATCATAGGGGTTGTGGGGGGTGGTTGTGGTTGTGGTGGGGTGGGGGGCCGGGGCTTTCCGGGTTTGGGCCTTGGGAAATGACGAATAGGCAGCGGGGGGTCCCAGGTGGTCGGTGAGTCACGCATGGCGGGGTTTCCACTACCATCACCACTAACACCATCCCCTGATGCCTGTGGGCTATCCATGCCCAAATGTTGCAATAATCCTCAAATATCATCCTAAAAAAGGGTTGGGCCACGGGGTGTACTCCGGGATGTACTCTGGGGTTCCCGTCCCCTGGGCACAGCTAGGGTTTCCTTTCTCGGCGCATGGGGGCGGGGAACATTTCCCACGCTTCACTGGGGAATATGATTCCTATCACTACTCGAATGATCGTCGGCGCAAAAAAAACACAGTCCACATCATACATCGCCATTACTTGAAGTCCCGAGGCCTGGCCTTTCGAAAAAATTGTTTTCTTTTGCGGGTGAGGAACAAAACCACCGTGAGTTTAAAGTGCCCCCCACCAGAGGTAGAAGGTTTTAGGATCATCAGGGTTTTTTTTGCACTATTATCGAATTTTCCCGGTATTTTTTTTCGGTCACTAATGGGGGAAAAACCGTAGAATTCGTCTTCATTTCCCCCTTCGATCAGTGTCGAACTTTTTCGATAGGAAGAGGAGGTCCCCCCAAATTTTTCCGGGGGGTGAGAGCTTGGGCTTGCGAGAGGCCCTGGGGAACAAAAAGGGGAAATGAGCCGGCGTTCCCACAATGCTATGGGGCGCCTAGATTTTTTGTTTTTTGGCGCACACCCCCAACCCCGCGAAACCCCTTCTCCCCAATGTAGGCCTATGAGCGTTTTGCACTAAATTTGATGGCGCTAGAATTTTGGCGTAGATCTACGGTTTGGACACTCAATGTGAAGCCGTAGATCTACGGGACGGACCCTGAAAGGGTTAAGATGCCTACTTTGTGGTCTATTTTCGTACAGAATTTATGGTTGTATTCTCATTTTCTTGGTCTCATTTGATAGAATGGAAAACATATTATAGAAATTGAGGTGATTTTGATTGGTTTTACTATGAAAAGAACCTTGAAATGGAGCCCAAAGTAGGAGAAATGTTTGATTTTTGCTGATGTTCAAAAGTAAACAAATGATGTCATTTTCCAATAAATGTCCAACTAGCCATTCTAATATGCAGTCATGAATGGGTTGATGTTATTTATACAATTATTACAGTATTGCAGTAGTCTGCATAATAGTAAATCTTCTATTTTTTGTTTGAATAAAAATTCAAAATAGAAAGCAAGAGTAATATCAGAGGGGCCTGGAGACATGACTGATGAACAAAGAAAATGTTATTTTAGAGCCAGGAATGTCTGTATTGTTCATTCTGGACCCTATTTTGAAATTGTCATATTTTTTTATTTTTGTGAAATTGGCCAAATTGCAAATTTCTGACCACGTTATTGGGCAGTTGAAATCGGTAAATGGCAGTTTCTTGTACTCAATTGATAGAAAAAATGGAGTTCTAAAGCAATAGCTGTGAGTTTGGTCGACTGGAACAATGGAATTAGCCGAAAATAGGGCTCAAAGTGGGCAAAATCGCCAATTCATAAGTATCGCCGAGGTCGCTAACTTCGCGAGAACGTAATTCCGTCAGTTTTCCATCAAATTTCTTCTTTTGGTGTCGTTACAATCGGGAAAAGATTCTCTATCATTTCATAAGAAAAAATATTTTTTTTTTTTTTTTTGGGGGGGGGGGGGGGACACCAGGAGACACCTCAGGATTTGCGGTTGCGACAGTCAAGGGGTTAAAAGAGCAAGTACGTATTAGAATTGAGCAATTTTTTGTGAAAAAAAAGAGGCAAATGGTACACGTCACCTTACATAGTAACTCCAGCATAAATGACATACATTATATACTGTATGTACAACATATATACTGTATATATATAATGCGCCACACACACTAACAAATTGA